AAAGCATAATCGCACCGGCCCGCCTGGCGCGTTCCAGCCTGGGTTTCTGAATGAATTAGTTCCAGAAATACGATAAGGAATTCTGGATTTTTTGAATTACAATTGTCGGCCTTTTGCAGGGAGAAAGGGCTGAATCTGTTTCAGAGATCAGATTCACTTTAAAACAAATCTTTTAAACTCAAAAGTTTAAAAATTTATAATTTATTTTTTAAACGCCTGTTGAAACTCCACCCTTTTATAGCTTTTTTCCACAATTATAGTAATGAATCCAATGCAAAAGCGCTTTCCCGAATGGTGCAAAAAATAAAAGTGAAGCCTGAATTTTTAGAACTTAAATAGTTCACTTCGCTACGAATGGAAAGGATTTAACACCTGCCTTCTGTTCTCCGTTTGTTGAGGAATTTTGCCACCTATAGTGACAAGACCTAATTACAACTCTTGAGAAACGCGTAGTTCAGCTCAGAGCTAATTCATTTAAAGCTTAAAAATTGATGCTTTGGGGAAATGATTTTTGTCCTCAAATCCATCGGCCTGAAATTTAGACAGCCGCGCCAACTGGTGGTTATTGGTGGCGCGCACTTGGGCTGTTTTTAAGTGCCTCCGCTTTTCACAGAGAATTAATGCGGTGAGGAAAGGACTGCAGTTACAGATCACCTTGTAGTAATAGTTGCGGACAGGAGCAAGCTACAGTGCTAAAAAAAAATTCAACGTTTAGGATCACGGTTGGGATGGTTGATCAAAATGCCCGCGCAGATGATGGAAGACTTGCGAAGTGAATGATAGTGATACCAAATTAGCGTGATATGAGCAATGTTTTAAAAACAGGGCCAAGACAGAGCGACTAACTGAAGACTGGAGGTAAGATTACACTGGGTTAGCACATTTGGAGCCCTTCTGCAAATTAATTCCGAGGGAGGTAAGAGGAACTGTATCATTCTGTACAGTTCTTACTACAGATTTACATAGTAGTGTATTGCTGTTTAGGAATGCCTGGTGTTTGAAAAATTTTTGTTTACGCGACTGCTTTGAGCTGCCTTTAGCTTGTCTGCAACGTAATTCTCGGAAAAAGAGGATATCGACAGTGCTGGGAGGAGCTAATTGTTAGCAATTATCATACCATCAGACGTATTTCAAAACTCCAGCTTCTGCTGCCATGCCTCGCCTCTTCGGTCTTGGAAATATTGCAGATTAGGAGTATTTCATTTTTTCTGTGTAAAACTGCAGAAAATGTTCTTAGGCGAATTGTTCACTGGAAAAGGTCTTCGGCCGAAGACTTGAGTTTATTTACGATGACAATAAAGCTCGTGTTTTTGATCATCTCTTTCAATAAAATAATAAAGGTTTCAATTTAACAGGTTAGGACTCCAGAACTACCGTATTTTTCTCTCAGTGGGCGTCCGCTTCAGAATCTGCCCGCCAGGGGGACGTTTTTAATCCTCGATGCGTGATTTTTAAGAGAAGTCAGTGCAAAAGATTTCAGAGCATGAAAATTCGTCTGCGAGTTGCTGAAATCAATCCAATTTCCTCACAGATGTAATTTTTTCTGGGGCATAAAAAACAAATTGTTTTTTAAAGAATGAAAAAGACTGTCAGAGAAATGATGCTGCAAAGCGATTTTGAAGAGACTTGTAAATTCATCCACGCAACTTGGCTAGCGCTACTGATACTGCTCTACAAGTTCAGCTGTTACAATAGCTTCAACCCGTACTCCAGCTGCGTTTTCCCCGAACTACGGAAGACCTTGGAGAAAAGCTGGAAGAATAGGTTTATAAACTTATGCGTAATCAGCTCAGAAAGCAGCGTCTACCTTCCTCCTTTCCATCTCCTCTTTCGCTCTTTAGTAGATTGTAAAGAGGAAGGATGCTTGGACTTGAAATGTCATAAAGCTAGCAATTTGTAATGCGAAACATCTGGAATTGTTTCTTCCTCTGATGTACACTTTTGAAGACCGGATGTGGCTAGAAGCTATACTGCATACCTGTTTTGCTGCCACTACAATTTCTCTTTTTTGCGTTTCAAAGGAATTTATTCCCACCTCCTGCTTACTTATATAACTTTGCTAAAATGGTATTTGCAAGGTCAAGCCAATGCTAGAATTTTTGGCTTTTTAGAATCATTATGCGAATCTGCATGTTTACTTGACTTCGAAACAAATCATTGGCGCCGCGCACCAAACGAGCCCCTGCGATCATGCAGTTTTGCATTATTTCGTGCTGGAGTAAGATCGTCTGGAATCACGATAGGTAGAATTTGTGACACGCTGGTCCTCAAGATTCAGGAAGTTAATTGTACAGCTATCATATGCTACTTAGATTAAAATTTTGCCTCTCCAGCTTTCCTGTTTTCCGAGTTAGCGATTTTCCCGCCAAGGCTTTTACGGGGCCATACGCGAAAACCACGACACCTCAGGGCTGAATTTGAAATCTTTGAGTTCCACGCGGACGGGAAGCATCCCCTTAAAATTTCAGCCTCTCAGCTTTTCTAGTTCCTGAATTGGCGATTTTTCCGCCAAAAATTTCACTTGCTCGTGCGAAAGACCCAAGCGTGCGTGAAGGCTGGTACCGCGGCTCTGCGGTGGCACTTGACTGGGGAATCCACTGACAAAATTTTAGCGCCGGAGCTTTCTTGGTTGTCGGGTTGAAATATCCGGAAAGGCACGCACACACAGAGACACACACACACACATGCACACACACCATGGATTGTCACAGTATGCGCTTTTGCGTTTGCATATATGCAGAAACGCATAAAAAGGTAACTTCGTGTGTTCTCGCAAGAAATGCCAGAATTGCAACTCCAGAAGTTTCTTAAAAGTGCAAGGCGTGCGACTTTTTCGACCTTGAAATTTAGCCAGTGTGCTCCATTACGCTGCGCAATAAAACTGTTAATATCGGTCCTCCATCGTTCCGGTTATAATTGCAAAAATAATTAAATTTTATTGTTTTCAGTTGCTAGTGCCTTCGAAATTTAAAATCCTGTGAACTGCAAAAATGAGCTAATCGGCAGGAAATGCTAAATTGCGATGGAGCGTTGGCGATCAACTGAAAGGTGCTAAATTACAGGCTGAAGTAGAAGTAGTTTTTGGCTGAAGAGCAAATGCCCTTCACATGTTTTGGGGATTGCGCTGATGGGAGAGGTATCGAATTTTATATCGGTAATTCCTATGGAATTTTGAGGATTGCAGGCGCTGCTGTGCTGGATGCAAATGTAGGCAGCAGCGCGCTGAGCGTCTTGAAACATCGTACAGTTTGATATGAAACAGCTGCGCTTCTTGAACTGTGCATCGCCTTGGTGTAAATGAATACTATAGGGTTTGATCTTTGACCTCCGTCATTAAAATTTTTTCTGGAACAGTTTACAGCTTGCAGACTTCCACGTATCTTTGCAGCATCTGATGTCATGTACCTTTGCATCTGCATTAGAAACATATGTCTGTCTGTCCATCTTCCCATTTACTCTCTTCTAGATAGCGCATAAGCTAAGATTTTAGGTCATAGCTGTCGCAAGCCCAAAGGGAAGCATAAAACCGCTTTATCTCATTTTAAAACTAGTGAAAAATTGGTGATTTCCGCATTCTAGTTCCAAAATGTTTAGATTCAAATCAGTCTAAGCTATAAGACTAAGAGTCTGAAAATTTCTTTATTTCATCTTACCTACATAACTGAAAGCGTTGGAAACAATGATTCCTCATCATCGTCACCTTGCTTATGACTTCACTTCTGCGTTGTTTCACTGTTTTCTGCGTTACAGACCAGGATCAGTTTTGTTGGATAATGTGCCCGAGCTAGGTCAATAGATCATTAGGAGAACTCTGAACTATGCTTTCATAATTCATCCACAAAAAGTAATCTCAACCAAAAATTTCATGTCTGTGCTGGAGTCTTCTGATTGGTTGCTGTTTGCTCTCTATGTTTATGGAAAAGATTTTCCCTATCAGGGCAGGAATTTATCCAAGTAAGGAATAGATTTTTTTTAGTTTGGTTTCCAAATTCCCTAGTGGATGAGGGAAACGCCCGTCCTGACTTCTGGCTGCACCATCAGATTATAACTGAATGAGCACATGCGTACTGAATAGGCAAATAAAAGCCAGAAACGGGTTAGCCTGAGAAAGAAAAAGCTGGTATTTGCATGTTTCTTTATCTCAGCCAACCAGAAATCTAAAAGCGGCGTATGGAATCTGCAACTGTTTTCTTATACTGGCAACAAAAATGTGGCAGTGTGTTCATTTTAGTGATGCTAGCGACTGCACTGCTGCTTTCTGTGGCAGCAAAGTGCGGGGTCACATGGGGGCAAGTACTGGTGCCGCCGTATACCAACTTGGCTCTTGGCCGGAAGATCGAAGCCTCATCAACATGCGGTGAACTTAATGGACAACCGATCAAGGAAATCTTTTGTCAGATAGCAGGTCCTTCTTTAATATTAGCGCGTGCTACAATCATGCAGAAAATGTAGCTGTTCGGGATAAATTTGGAACTTTTTTTTTGCAGGGTCCAGTCAATACACGCCTCTAAATCAGTATTCATACAGTACCGGTGAAGATGGCTTCACTGTTTTCGCAGAACTCAAAATGGAGAAGCAGTCTTTCGTTCAGGTAAAGCTAACGTGACAGCGTGTTTAAATGAACTAGCTAAAGCAGCGGCTTTTGCACGCTTTGGATTTAAGACAGGCATGGGCAATCACTGGCGACACGCGGACCTGATTTACATACTTAAGCTCGCGAACCCACCTTTTAATAGAACTCAGGTAGCAACGCGCCAGGCTTGCTCGCGTGATCATGCATTTTTGCGCTAAATTTGATGCAACCAGATCGTGAACAGTATAAGTGGTTTTTATTTTGCAGTTCAGTACGTGCAACTCATGTGCCCTGTGCTTTGATCTTTTCTTGCATGAAAGGGGAAAGGGCGTCGGCTAGAATGGTAGTGTTGCAACACGACTCTCCCAGTTGCTGGGTTAAAAGTGGGCGACAAAGTTCACTCAATTCTAAACATACACACGCACACAGACATGCTTTCAATATTCTTGCATAATATGCAAGAACGCATAAAAACAAATAAGTTTTTATGAGGCAGTACATTCAGTGAAAAAAGTAAAAAACGACAGGTTAATTTGAGTTCTGGGCTTGAACTTTTAATACAAGATTGATGAAATCTGGGCTTATGTCACTGACGCAAAGTCTCAAAGTATTTTCCAGATTGTTATCTGTTAGTGTAGTGGATATTTTAGTTTTACTTATTTTCATAAAAGTATGGAGGCGTGGCGGAGTACAAACCTCCCGTTCGCCTAAGTAGGCAGCACATTCCGATTTCCTTCGCGAACCGGATCCGGCCTGCAGGCTGCCAGTTGTCCACATGCGACTTGAGGGAAGTACTTAATCAGATGTGCTGTTGCGGGACAAAATTGCGTACGTGAGAAATTTTATATGAAAGAAAAATTTTGCGTGAATCAACAAATTGTTCTTGCTTTCTAAAGCCAGTAAGTTTGCTGCATAAATTCTACGTTTCTAAGCCTAGTTCGTTATATTTTAGTATATGTTCGGTAGCTTGATCTTATGCTTATTGGCTTTCGACTTTTTATGCGTTTTTTGCAGCAATGCAATGCGAAAAACGCATATTGACGAGAGGTTGTCT